TAAGAGTAGCCTCCCTTTATTTTCGGTAGGCGTGGTTATCTTTGCGTTGTCGATCGGCCAATTTCCATTTTGATATTGCATCAGAAATGAGTTAATTTACTGAGTTAGTTGTCGAGTTTACGATGTATTGTCAATGAATTAGCAAAGGACCGTTTGCATTTTCAGTTTCACGTAGAGTTAAGTCGAACTGTGAAGTCGGTGACTGTAAACAGACAATAAAACTCTTCAGTAACAGACCCTTGGCTTGTACTTTCCTTGAGATCCCGAGTTGCGTCCCCTTGATCAGGGTTGCGATTGCGAATCCTAGTACACACGTAACCTTCCAGTGTTTTTGTGTGCTTGCTGGCACAATAGACAAAACAAAGCTTTCCTCGATCCTGATGTTAAATCTACATTTCAAGTTTAAGGTCAGTGGTATGTCATTTTGTCTGCAAATAAGGCTTCAAATACCTTGATCCTTGTCTGCAAACTTTATAACATTTCCTGTATATAAAAAGAACTTGGTTTGCTTGATGTCTAAGGAAACCCCACCTATACATTATGCAGTTTTTCACGAGAAATACGAAATACTAGCTAATCATGCTTTGGTATTACAATCATTTAGATTATCTATGAATGATAAGTTGCAAGTACCATCAAATCTGGGTTACAGTCTCATTGTGATAAGTGGAATTAATATTATTTTGAAGAACTCCAAAGAACCTTTGGACCAATCTTCAACATCCTCTTTTAAAACAAATTCTTCTATAAGAACCTTTCATTTTCTACCTTGTTTACCATCATATCCCATTCTAAAACAGAACGTACGCCTTTGTTTTCTTCTCCAAAAAAGGTAAAATGGCAGAATAGATATATGGTTATGAACTATATCATTAATTGGTTATATAATCAACTGTTTTTTAGCCAATACCATTCCATCCATGCAAGGTATATTTGAGCACTGCATGCACATTTGTAGGTCTTAAACACAGTGATGAGTCTTACTCATACCAAGTTCAGAGTACAGGTCACCTTGCATGACTCGGCGTGTTTGAATTTACAGGAATTCAAGCCATTTCTGGCTAGAGACCATTTTGTTGCTAGCTCGCACCGCTGCGGGAGTAATGTGTTTTTCATTTTACAAATACCCGGGTATTTATGCATCCAAACCTGGGAAAATAGATATAACTGATCTTTTTAAATTTCATTCAAACACTCTTTCCGCAATTGTGTGAGAGGTCAATGCCTAAACGTTGCTTACGTAGCTACTGATTCGTTTTCAAGTTGGAATTAATAAGTTCGCGCTTTTTGTTTGTTAAATTCAAATTTCCCGCTTGTGTAAAATATTAAAGCTACAAGTTAATATCCTAATTATAAAGGTTGTTTTTGTAAGTCTTTCTTATTGCATTCGTCTAGCTTCAACACAAAATCATGTATAGTATTTGAATAGACGACTACCTGTTAACATCTCAGTCGACTGTGCAGTATTCCCTAATATCATTAGCAATAGAAAATGCTGCTGCCAATACCACGAAATTTATTAGTGGTAAGTGACCACGGAATTTATTTTCGTTGTAACTATGGAATTTATTTTCGTGGAAAGTATTATCATGTGGTGACAAAACTTCAACTCATCTCTGTCACATTTCATGCATAATAAATTGTAAATGCACAACGAGCAACAAAAGTAGCATTAAGAAACCGCCAATCGATACGTAATTGGAAACAAAAAGCTATTTGTGTGGCTTTTTTTCTTTAATTCTGTTAGAAGTCACGTTATCACACAAAAAGGTGGGGTTTCCAAAACCACCCACTCTCCGATTTTTTAAAACTTTGCAGTATTTTAAAGTACCTTAAAACAAACCTGAATATGTCTTTCTTTTTCCAGTTGTGATATGCAAAAGGCCCACAGGGCCTGAAATTCTCTTTTTCACACTACATATAATTAAGTGCCTTTAAGGTAAATCTTTCCTTCATTTTGGAAAGTATTTTACTCTTAGATGTGTTAATGATAATTGTTTCTCTACGTCATTATCAATAATGTTCCGTTTGGAGTGATAGCTTTACTCACATGTCAACTTCAGGGTGGAAAAGTAGCTAATTTTGAATTCCGCAAATCTCAATTTTAAAGTTTAAGACATCAAAGCAATATGGCATTATCTTTGTACACCAATTGAAACCATTTTAAAAATAGGTTATACACATCATCTGTACACATACTTAATATTGAAATAAAAACAAAATCCGGGAAAATGGTTTTATAGCATTATGAACATCCCCATCCCCTCTCAATCAGCAGGTACTGCGTAGATACAAAAGTGAGGTAAGATATTATTGAAGTCATTTAAATGGACAACATAACTTAAAATCTATGCTAACTTGAAAATAATTAGGTTTGATGTGAAACGACATAACAAACATGAACATGTAATAATTAATAAAGATAATTATAATTAATGTTATTTGACATGGAAAATGTCATACACCTGGTAAAACACAATTATGCAATAGTGTAAAATATTCACAAAAGATATTTTAATTGTGCTACATTAAAACAAAATAAATGTATGTATAATATTTTTGTAAATAACTAAAATAAGCAAAGTCATCAATATCTGTGTGTAACTGATTAGTTATCTGGTCTGCACCCATCAACCTGCCTGGTTTGGGAACACCCTAAAGGAAAATTATGTATTTTTTGGGGTTTCATGGTCATAGATCTATCCGGAGGATCAATTTGTTCTTCTTAATTTGTATTTCCTTGCATACTAGCATTGCAACTGTTTATTAGAAAATATAGCATTAATGAATAGGAATTCTTTATATGTTCATGAACATTTTAGTAAACGTCACTTATTAAAGATGCGATAAGCCATGTGCTAAGTAAAGTACTCAACTTTAATGACATTTGTTTGTCAATGACAACATGAAGCTTCAGTTGAACAAAGCTTGTTTGAATTTCTTTGTCTGTGGCTGTAAAGGTCTTGCCTTAGTTTGGCGGGAAAGGTAACCAAGATAGTAGAGTATACTTGTGATGTGGCAGCACATACCAACTGTGCGCTTGCCTGCTGGACACTGACAATAATGATCAGTAATAGGGTCATCCTTGTTGTCTTCATCGAATGCTATCCAAACGTTGTACTTCGTCTGGTATTTGTGACGTGAATGTATTTGTCCTCATATGAGGCCATCAGCGTGCTGGTACACCCATACCTGGAAATCACCATCATCAGTCAGGTGTTCTGCAATGTACCCTGAAGCCTGTTTGATTTAATAGGCACCAAATGTTGCAGTTTCTAGGTACTCCATATCGAGCTCTGGAAATGCTATATCAGCACAGCATAATTTCTGCCATTCTGATCTTGCCCTTCGGCTTAAATCTGGCTCTTTGAGTACTCTACCAGCCAAAGAATTCTTCAAGGAGAGCCTGGTCAATATTGTTTGCTAGTTGGCGATCTTTGGCTTCACGGGCAGCAGATGGGTTGTAAATCGGGTCACGGATAGCATTCAGACAGGCAGTAGTAATGCGAACAAGCTGGGCAATTGGAAGAGAGTTTCTCTTTAAAAAGTCGTTGCTTGAATTGTCCATGATAACTTTCGACGACCCAGCATGTTTTTGTGCATAGTCTTTCCTTATTTGCTGTTTCTGCATCATGTTGTGACATCCCGGATTGCAAATAAGAAGGCATATGAGATTGTAAACCAGATGACTTGATAAGGTCAAGACCGTCCCTGAACCCTCTGTCAACTATAATATTATCGCTATCGTGTAGCCATACATTCAAGTTTTCAACAGACACAAAAATCTTTTTTCATTACCATTAAATGGACCTATTATGTCAAGAACATAACCGTCGGGAAGGACAAAACTAATAAACTTTAAATAGTTCCTAATATTTTTGGCCACAATATGAAGACCTTTGCAATTCGTGATCATTGCTTTTCTGGACGTATATATACGTTCCATCCAATATGACTGAACCTTTATTGCCATATAAGGCTTCTGTAAAAGAGGTGTTGTGTGAAATGGATTCATCCCTGGTTATACTTCCTATACCAAGATAATAGCCTTGCTGATACCATACAGTGCACCCAGCTTTGGCCAAGATACATTTGTTTTAAGTTTAACTCAAAACATAATTAATGCATTGACTGTTGAAGTATATTTTCGGTTAGTGATATTGTTAGTACTTAGCTCATGCATCTTATTTATGTCATCAAGTGACCAACCTGTCCTTGCCTTACAGTCCTCATCAGAAAGAGAAGCAAAGCCTAGCCTGGGTTTGTCCATACCAACTTTCACGGTGCTTGCCAGCTCCAAAAGATCATTAATGATAGGTTCGGCTTTGTCAGAGAGGTGTTCCTTTAATGGAGTGCAATTGTCCATATTAACTTTTATATCAGGATGCAACTCATTGCCTACAAGATGATTTGAGCATACGCAGGAGTCAACTGGACACCAAAGTTTGAATTTCCGAAAGAGAGTAAGACGAGCAGAGTGAGGTAGTGGTGATTGATAGCAGGATGCATACTGCAAACAAATTGTGCATCGCCTGTGGAAGCTTGCACCATATAACACATCAACCACAGATAGAACTTGATATTCAGTTGTACAAAAATCATCAGGCTCTGGTATTTCTGAAGGATCTGTTTGGATATCTCTGACAGGATTCGCTGCTGGTTTTCTCTCATAGTGCTTAAAGCATTTGAAACAAATGACTGCATCATTAATCTTTGATTGGTTGACACCATCTTCTGAAAGGAGTCTACAAGGCCACTCATAGTTAACAACCTTCCGGAAGATCTTTTATGTTTTGGGAATATCCCTTACACGAAATGTGCATCCTGGTCCGACACAAGTCTTCTTTTTGTCATTTAATGGTGCTTCTGCATAAAATGCGTTATATTGAATTACAGAAGATGACTATGCCTTTTGTTGTAAGCTTTACTTAAGGTTATGACATTTTAAACTAAATATTATATTTAACATGTTAATTATCAAAATGGGGATATTGCAAGGGTGTCCTTTGTGACCTTTATTTACTCATTTGATTAATACATGAAGGCCCAAGAAGATAAATCAGTAGGTTTTACACAAATGTATTGTATGTATTACTACCATATATTGAGACAATTCTATTACAATATATATAACACTATAATATCATAATTACAGTTCCTATTCAAGATCACCATTGACAACACATGTACAATGTAAACAGACATTGTCATATGGAGAGCGTATATAAATACATTGTTATGCTGCATTTCTTGATATGCAATGGTCTTCTTTTCTCTACCAATATTTGCAATCAGAGTAATTTTGTTGTTCAGGTCAATGCAGAAGAAAACAAAACAACTATTTCAAAAATAATAGAAAATAAAAACCAAAAAATAGCGATATAAGAAACATATTTGAAAATAATACGTATTTCTTTGTTGTAAAATTGTAATGTTATCTAAAAAACACAGCATACACCTAAAAATGATCAAATAGTTATGTAATTATGCTGTGAATTATCCCTTTTTTTGACAACTAGAGACACTTTCCTCAAATCCAAAATTTTACACAAGCTGCATTGAAGTAGCTCAAAAACCATTTTCCTGGTTTTCGATTCTTTTCAAATTTTACCTGGTGGAGAAACACATATTTCAGCTAATTTTTATTTAAATTATAATAGTGAACAAAATTTTTAACATGGCAAATTTTGACATTTTTGGCGACATCGTGGTTTTCAAAACTGCAAAACATCATTATTTCCGCCTCTTAAACATTCCTTGCATCAAGAAAACAGTACAGATTTCATATATGAATTATGAATTATGTTTCAAGAAGAGAAAAAAAAACAAGAATCGATGAAACGGATTGCATGAAAACATGATGTGGGTGCATGTTTTTACATGTCGTCACTTTTCTGATTTTGCGGGCCCTTTGGGCCTTTCTAATGTAAAAAATCAAAAATCAAGTGTGTTTTTAGTATTGCCTTTGATAGTACTACAAACATGTGAAGTTTGAAAGAAATCTGGGTGTGGGTGGTTTCTATGGGAATTTTAACATTAGCTTGAACCCCACCTTAGACGATGCAATATCAATTCCAAAGAGAAAAAAGGTTATGAAAAATGTAGATGTTATTGCAAAATCAATTTGTTCTACAATAATTTCGAAATCAAACTGAAAAATACATATCTGCCACCTAAATACAACTATTTACATCGGTGTTTCAGGATATTCTTAACAAATTTCAACGATCTGGTATTTAATCACTCCGTCATCCAATCAAATGATTTCTTAACCGCCTTCTCCCATCGCTTTAGTCTTTTTCGAAGAGCTGGAAAATGAAAATAACATTTAGGATGTAAAATGTATTTGTTTTTTGTAAAAATGGGAAATAAAAGTGAATGAAAGTAAGATAGAGACAACATGCCACTCTTTAATTCATAAACATTGAATAGAACAACCCAGAAAATTTATAGTAAAGTTAAATTCAAAGTTAAAGTAAACTCTCTAACATCTGACCGAAAAATGAAAATGAATCTTTATTAGAAGTCTACTACATACATACTGGGATATCGAAAAAAAAAACAAAGAAATATTGATATTCATCTTATTTATGTAAACAATTTAAAAGAATAAACTCCAATCGTTAATCGTGTTATCCTGTCGTATAGAACGTCTGTGACTAAATATTTTTGAGGAAAGTTGAATCGGTCTAAAAACATGACAGATTTTTCTCGACAGTTTTTTTTCGCGAGATTTCTTTACATTTGAAGTAATAAACAGTTAGTGTTTCCTGACATCGTGTTTATACGTGCAAACGTATTTTCAATGTAGTATTTTCTAGTGTCTGAACGGAACTATACACAAAAAAGTAGTTTCTGTTCAGCGAAGCGATAAAACATGTAGTTAATATACAATGGTGTATAACATACGTACATTCTGATGATCAGTTCAAAGACAGTTGTTAAGTAATTAAGGTTATAAAGCTTACTGTTAAATTGTCAAATAATTTCAGAACAACAGGATTATAGTAAATATTTGATAACAACGTTTCAAATCACATAATTTGGGTATAAAAAGCCTGCATTAGTAAGATTATGAGTAACATAATACCTAATAATAGGAAAAGACGAAGAGTCGACGTACTAGTTCCCGCGATAATATAAAAAAATAATTTGATTCAGGTATGTGCTAAAAGGTGTGGTAGTGGCTGATGTTCGTAAGAAAGAAACACTGCATGTAGTCAAATTTGAATTTAGTTGTATCGTGTTTCAATGACAAATGTAATAATGTCCAAGAATCGTATCATTGCTGTTTCTACTAAATACCTGCCACGACTTCCAAGCTCTAATTGAAATAAAGAAATTGAAATATGGAAGAATAATGCACAAATTTAGGGTTTTATATAGACCAGAAACTTAGAGAACCACGTCATACAATTGCAAAGATTATACAATTTACATCGTAAGCGATACATATACGAGTATCATTCTCTGTCTAATTTTTCCTCTGAGCTGAGAATGTTACATATATAATATATACTTCAAAATATATCACACTGGTTTAGAATATACACGTGAACTTGTATACAATAGGATTGTAGGTGGTAGTCATTACTGGTCGACGGAAAATACCCGAAGTTATCATTTACATTTTATAAAATACATTAAAATCACGATGTTTAGAAAGTATTGGGTGAGTGCAAACGATTGAAACTGATAAAACGGACTTCTACTCCTCTCAAAATTGTTTATATATGACAGTTTTGCTGTTCTTAAATGACAAAAACAACAACGATTATTTAGCATTTGTCCGAGAGACTTATTTTATATTACTACCTCTTCTGTAAAGGAGTCTTCAATTCAATCGCAATTCGCATATAATATTTAATGAAATTATTTCAAGCGCATAATGGCCTGCATCGCTACAAGTAAGCTAGATACGAGGAAGAAATTATGTTATTGTGTGTTGCTTTGCAGCCGACCGCTTCCGTGTACAGTGACTACTCTTTGAGTAAAGTTCCATTCAGACAGTGTTATTACATATATGTACAAAAACATCATCGACAGGACGCTCTAACGAATGGAAAGAAAAAAACAGTCATATAACACAAACCTTCAGCTGAACAAGACTTTTCAAATACATCATTTCTTTTTGGGAATTCTTCTTCTAGTCCTAAATGATCTTCGTTTATCCTGAAGATATCTATGCCGGCAGCTGAACCCGCCATTAACGCAGCCCCGAAAGACGTTGTTTCTTTCATGAATGGTCGCACTATAATTTTATCACGAAATAACAAATATCAATAGCATTAAACCAGAGAAACATTACGTAAAAGAAGTAAAACTAAACTTTACAAAATATAGTATTAAAGTTCTGAATTTTTTTTATATAAGTACAGACAAAATATATCCAATCATTGATAAAGAAATATGCATAAATTAACACTGTGGAGAGTGGATATCAAGGTTAAGTCACTCTGATCTAATGGACAAATATAATTGTTGCACAGTAACCCCTAACAAGACTTATTCTACATCATCAGTACTGGAACATACCGACATTTCCCTCCAGGATGTCAGCCTGCATCTGCATAAACAATGTGTTCACAACCATCCCGCCGTCTGCCTTGAGGGAGGGAATGGGAAATCCGCTTTCCTCGGCGGCAATTTCTAATAACTGTAAAATAACGGAAATTTACAAATTTCCTAGTATAACCATGGTGCCAAATAGCGAGCCGTCATCTCTTTTGCGTTATTTTTTTTTCACGTGCTCATGTTATTTAAATATCGAGATAAGCATTTGTGTAAAACTTTCACTTCGTTCTTTTCAAACCAATTTGTTTAATATAAAGTACTTTGAACAGGTCATTGTGACCTACCTTCCTGACCTGGAAACATATTGATTCCAATGCTGCACGACATATATGTGCCTTGGTTGTATTAGTATTCAATCCACAAATAACCCTTAAATACAAAACATTTATCAATATCACACATTCATCACTCAAAATGTAAATCATTTTACTCTGATATCAAATAATATACTTAATAACATCCAGAGATTTTTCTTCAGATGGATTTATTCATGAAAGGCTATGTCGGTGGTTCATGTAAACCTCATTTACCGAGGAGAGGTGTCATATTGCCTACTATAACGTTTATTACAAGTCCTAATCAATACAGCTATATAACACACTCTGAAGGTTCTTATTTTCAAGTGCATCGATTATAAACTATTTTCGAGGAAGGATTAAAATCTCTCAAAATGTGCATATTGAAAATAACACTCAAGAAAAAAATATAATATTGTATAAATCATCGAAAATGACAATTCTTTACGCTACCAAATCGTATAGCGGTGAAAATATAAACAATCAAAAACATTAATTACAGGAAGCAATTATCACTGGTTATTTCGTACACTCATCAATCATTACCCACTACTTACTAAAGTCACCAATCATTACCCACTACTTACTAGTCATCAATCATTACCCACTACTTACTAATCATCAATCATTACCCACTACTTACTACAGTCACCAAACATTACCCACTACTTACTACAGTCATCAATCATTACCCACTACTTACTAGTCATCAATCATTACCCAAGAGTTACTATAGTCATCAATCATTACCCACTACTTACTACAGTCATCAATCATTACCCACTACTTACTAGTCATCAATCATTACCCACTCCTTACTACAGTCATCAATCACTACCCACTACTTACTACAGTCATCAATCATTACCCACTACTTACTACAGTCATCAATCATTACCCACTACTTACTACAGACATCAATCATTACCCACTACTTACTACAGACATCAATCATTACCCACTACTTACTACAGTCATCAATCATTACCCACTACTTACTACAGTCATCAATCATTACCCACTACTTACTACAGTCATCAATCATTACCCACTACTTACTACAGACATCAATCATTACCCACTACTTACTACAGTCATCCATCATTACCCACTACTTACTACAGTCACCATTCATTACCCACTACTTGCTACAGTCACCAAACATTACCCATAGTCATCAACCATTACCCACTACTTACTAGTCATCAATCATTACCCACTACTTACTATAGTCATCAATCATTACCCACTACTTACTACAGTCATCAATCATTACCCACTACTTACTACAGTCATCAATCATTACCCACTACTTACTAGTCATCAATCATTACCCACTAGTCATCAATCATTACCCACTACTTACTACAGTCATCAATCATCACCCACTACTTACTATAGTCATCAATCATTACCCACTACTTACTACAGTCATCAATCATTACCCACTACTTACTAGTCATCAATCATTACCCACTACTTACTACAGTCATCAATCATTACCCACTACTTACTAGTCATCAATCATTACCCACTACTTACTACAGTCATCAATCATTACCCTACAGTCTACATTACCCACTACTTACTACAGTCATCAATCATTACCCACTACTTACTACAGTCATCAATCATTACCCACTACTTACTACAGTCATCAATCATTACCCACTACTTACTACAGTCATCAATCATTACCCACTACTTACTACAGTCATCAATCATTACCCACTACTTACTACAGTCATCAATCATTACCCACTACTTACTAGTCATCAATCATTACCCACTACTTACTACAGTCATCAATCATTACCCACTACTTACTACAGTCATCAATCATTACCCACTACTTACTACAGTCATCAATCATTACCCACTACTTACTACAGTCATCAATCATTACCCACTACTTACTACAGTCATCAATCATTACCCACTACTTACTAGTCATCAATCATTACCCACTAGTCATCAATCATTACCCACTACTTACTAGTCATCAATCATTACCCACTACTTACTACAGTCATCAATCATTACCCACTACTTACTAGTCATCAATCATTACCCACTACTTGCTATAGTCATTAATCATTACCCACTAGTTACTACAGTCATCAATCATTACCCACTACTTACTAGTCATCAATCATTACCCACTACTTACTACAGTCATCAATCATTACCCACTACTTACTAGTCATCAATCATTACCCACTACTTACTATAGTCATCAATCATTACCCACTACTTACTACAGTCATCAATCATTACCCACTACTTACTACAGTCATCAATCATTACCCACTACTTACTACAGTCATCAATCATTACCCACTATTTACTACAGACATCAATCATTACCCACTACTTACTACAGTCATCAATCATTACCCACTACTTACTACAGTCATCAATCATTACCCACTACTTACTACAGTCATCAATCATTACCCACTACTTACTACAGTCATCAATCATTACCCACTACTTACTAGTCATCAATCATTACCCACTACTTACTACAGTCATCCATCATTACCCACTACTTACTACAGTCATCAATCATTACTACTCATCAATCATTACCCACAGTCATCAACATTACCCACTACTTACTAGTCATCAATCATTACCCACTACTTACTACAGTCATCAATCATTACCCACTACTTACTACAGTCATCAATCATTACCCACTACTTACTACAGTCATCAATCATTACCCACTACTTACAACAGTCATCAATCATCAATCATTACCCACTATTTACTACAGACATCAATCATTACCCACTACTAACTACAGTCATCAATCATTACCCACTACTTACTACAGTCACCATTCATTACCCACTACTTACTGCAGTCATCAATCATTACCCACTACTTACTACAGTCATCAATCATTACCCACTACTTACTACAGTCATCAATCATTACCCACTACTTACTACAGTCATCAATCATTACCCACTACTTACTACAGTCATCAATCATTACCCACTACTTACTACAGTCATCAATCATTACCCACTACTTACTACAGTCATCAATCATTACCCACTACTTACTACAGTCATCAATCATTACCCACTACTTACTACAGTCATCAATCATTACCCACTACTTACTAGTCATCAATCATTACCCACTACTTACTACAGTCATCAATCATTACCCACTACTTACTACAGTCATCAATCATTCAATCATTACCCACTTCTTACTACAGTCATCAATCATTACCCACTACTTACTAGTCATCAATCATTACCCACTACTTACTACAGTCATCAATCATTACCCACTACACTCATCAATCATTACCCACTACTTACTACAGTCATCAATCATTACCCACTACTTACTACAGTCATCAATCATTACCCACTACTTACTACAGTCATCAATCATTACCCACTACTTACTACAGTCATCAATCATTACCCACTACTTACTACAGTCATCAATCATTACCCACTACTTACTACAGTCATCAATCATTACCCACTACTTACTACAGTCATCAATCATTACCCACTACTTACTACAGTCATCAATCATTACCCACTACTTACTACAGTCATCAATCATTACCCACTACTTACTACAGTCATCAATCATTACCCACTACTTACTACAGTCATCAATCATTACCCACTACTTAATACAGTCATCAATCATTACCCACTACTTACTACAGTCATCAATCATTACCCACTACTTACTACAGTCATCAATCATTACCCACTACTTACTACAGTCATCAATCATTACCCACTACTCATACTACCCACTACTAGTCATCAATCATTACCCACTACTTACTACAGTCATCATTCATTACCCACTACTTACTACAGTCATCAATCATTACCCACTACTTACTACAGTCATCAATCATTACCCACTACTTACTACAGTCATCAATCATTACCCACTACTTACTAGTCATCAATCATTACCCACTACTTACTACAGTCATCAATCATTACCCACTACTTACTACAGTCATCAATCATTACCCACTACTTACTACAGTCATCAATCATTACCCACTACTTACTACAGTCATCAATCATTACCCACTACTACTACAGTCATCAATCATTCTTACTACAGTCATCAATCATTACCCACTACTTACTAGAGTCATCAATCATTACCCACTACTTACTACAGTCATCAATCATTACCCACTACTTACTACAGTCATCAATCATTACCCACTACTTACTACAGTCATCAATCATTACTACCATCAATCATTACCCACTACTTACTACAGTCATCAATCATTACCCACTACTTACTACAGTCATCAATCATTACCCACTACTTACTACAGTCATCAATCATTACCCACTACTTACTACAGTCATCAATCATTACCCACTACTTACTACAGTCATCAATCATTACCCACTACTTACTAGTCATCAATCATTACCCACTACTTACTACAGTCATCAATCATTACCCACTACTTACTACAGTCATCAATCATTACCCACTACTTACTACAGTCATCAATCATTACCCACTACTATAGTCATTAATCATTACCCACTACTTACTACAGTCATCAATCATTACCCACTACTTACTACAGTCATCAATCATTACCCACTACTTACTACAGTCATCAATCATTACCCACTACTTACTACAGTCATCAATCATTACCCACTACTTACTAGTCATCAATCATTACCCACTACTTACTACAGTCATCAATCATTACCCACTACTTACTACAGTCATCAATCATTACCCACTACTTACTACAGTCATCAATCATTACCCACTACTTACTACAGACATCAATCATTACCCACTACTTACTACAGTCATCAATCATTACCCACTACTTACTACAGACATCAATCATTACCCACTACTTACTACAGTCATCAATCATTACCCACTACTTACTACAGTCATCAATCATTACCCACTACTTACTACAGTCATCAATCATTACCCACTACTTACTACAGTCATCAATCATTACCCACATCAATCATTACTACAGTCATCAATCATTACCCACTACTTACTACAGTC